AAAGAGAGGGCTGACCCCCACGATCCCCAAACCGAGTATTCCCGTGGGTGGGATGGAATACTGCATTGGCCAGTCCTGGGTCACCTGTGCCCTCTGCAGCTTCCTGCGGGTGCGACCCCTCCTCCGCCTTCCCCCACGAGGAGCCCAGCGGAGCCCAAGAGAGCCCGCAGGGAACAAGCACCCACTCGTGGGCCTTTCTGCATAACAATCCCGCTCCTGCCCCAGCAACAACTACAGACATTAACTGCCATCAACTCTGACAGCAGGCGCTGCCTGAAACCTGGAGTCAGCTTCAGACAGTGCAGTTACTAAGAAAACTTAACTGAAGGGAAAAAAAAAATCTACTGAAAGCAGAAATAGTTCTGTTTTAGCCAAACCAGGACAGAGGAAGGGGACATCTCCTAGCTTCTGAAGACAGAGCTGTTCTGAAGAGATACGGGACCAATAATCAACAGAAGCTTATAAGTGAAAGCCTGAGAAAACTGCGATCTGTTAGCACTGTGAGGCTGAAGAAGCTTCTCCAGTGGTACAAAGGAAGGGAAGCAGGAGATGCTGAGGGGATAAGCAGCAGCTTAAAAGAAAAAAAAGAGTAAGAAGACTGCACAGACATTTGGGGCTTGAGTTGGTACTTTTTTTTACAAATAGCAATCAGTGCCATTCACTCACAGCATTAGTCTTGGTGTCCAGAATCCTGCATCTTATTAAATTATATATGCATAAGACATGTAAGTCATATTTGTCTATTGTTCATAGTGAGGCTTCTTGAATTTATATTCCTTTCATGCAAACCATGCAATTCTTATGAAAAATGAATGGGTTTTGTTGATGCTGAAGAAGCTTCCCCTCTTCTAGTTTGAGCTTGTACTTCAGCCCTGGATCCCCATTGTACCCATTCCTTAGCTAGAATGATATTATCTGTCAGGGAGGTGATAAATGCTAGGCCCATGCAGACGGAGGATAAGTGCTGAATTACCTCAGGCAGTTTTATGGTTGGTGCTAAGGGCTTCTTTGCAACATTTAAAATTCACATGGGGGAAATTATGTATTTTTATTAGATGGGTTTTTCTTGGTGGTTTTAGGTAATGATTTGATAAAATCATAATGTGAATTGTTACAACTGCACTTTTCAAATAATCTTAAATGCCTGAATTTAAAAACACATACAGCTACATAGATCATATTTTAAATGTATAGCTACATTGATATATTTTAAACCTGAAGAGGCCTCTGATTATCTTGTTTGACCAATCTAGCGTCAATCATTATTTCGCTATGAGATGTTCCAAAACCAGCAGACTATTTTTATTCTTGAAGTCAAGGTAAACATACGATAATTTTGGAAACTCCTTTTTATTGATATAAAGAAATAGTGGTTTTATATATATGTATATATACATGTATGTATGATATTTGACCCAAAGAAAAAGGAAATTATTGTAAAGGCAAGAGTCCTGTAGTGTTAGATAGCAGGTACTTGCTGCAGACTGTATAAGCCTGATCCACTGGCAGACTCTCTGCTGACTTCCAAGAGCAAGGCTTGTGGTGCTGTGTTATCATAACTACATAAAAGTACAAACCAGAAGATGGTGATGTACAAAGGGCTTCAAGCTGCCCCTCTGCGCTGCCAGCACTGAGCTGCTTTGAGGCTTGAAGAACAGCTTATGCACCCCTAGTTTGTAGACTTCTACTGGCCACAGGACAGTCTGTAATTTCTAAAGCAGTATGTGCTGGGACAGTGCCCCAGAAGTGTCTTTCCAGCTTCTAATACCTAGCTCAAAACATTTATACAAGACTTTGCAAGGAACTCCTTGAATAGCACCCTCGTAGCTATGTTTCACAATAACAGCACCACTTGAATGTGTTTTGACAAGTGTGTTTCTAGAAACTGTTTGTATTTCTCTTTGGACTTTTTGCAGAGTGTGGCAGTTAAGGTATTAGTGTATGCGTTTGTGTATAAAGCATTCTAACTTTCTTGCAGTATTGATTTTTCAAGCTTAACACTCATTCAGGAAATGTTAGAGATAGTGAGTTTTGTTCAGTTTCAAAGGAACTTCAAAGGAAATTTCACTTCCAACTCAAAATACTTAAACAACTGGATGCTGAGCTGAATACCCTGAGCATGCTGGTAAAGATGCATAGACTTGCAGATGTGCAAATCAAAGGCAGAAGACTAGAGAAGCATGTCCACTGTTGTTCTTGCACCACTGCTTTTCATTTATGAAAATGCCTTGTACCAATCAGTCCATACCCTGTAAAGCTATGCTTTAAGCTTACAGCGAAACGAAAAGTTAAGTCCTGTTACCTTGTATTTTGATTTTAACAGTTTTCAATGTTTATTTTCACAGTGCATTGATAATATAAGGTGCAATGGTTTAATGACCATAGTGTTTGAAGAAAACTCTAAAGTCACGGTGCCACATATGATCAAGTAAGAGCAGCATTTTTTTTCCCAGTGAACAAAATAGCTTGTTTGTTTGTTTTTTAATAAAAGTTTCAACAAGATAAAATGTGTATTTGGAAAATATAGCCTTTTAATTTATTTTTTTTCCCCATTTTTGTTGAATAGAATAAATTCTACATCCCAAAATGTTATCTTTTCAGATCTGTTCCTTGAAATGGTAGGTATGACTCAAAATGGTAAACTCTCAATTCACAGTATTGGACTGTATAGGATCACAGCTCAGATTTTTCTATTATTGGTGAAGTTGCCTTCAGTTATGCTTCAGATTAATAACTTCATTGTCTGTTAGCTTTTCGCTGTCATACCACTCATAATTTTATTGAATATATTTTAAAATGTCTTCAAAATTTAGGTGACTGCAGACAAGTATGATTTTCCAAGGTATTTTGTTATATTAGCCAAAATTTTTCTTCTCTTTGTTTCTCTTATTTCTGAGAAAAAAATACTTTCTCTCATAATTGTAACTGATGATATCAAGGTAACATCATAAACCTGCTTCCTTCACCCTTAGATTCTTTCAGTCAGTTATTGTAATAAGTCATTTTTATTTGTAGACAGCAATTTTCAGTACATGATTCCAAATTTCTAACTCAATTTGACCTCTTAGATCTTCTACAGGATCTGTATTTACATGAGTTTTACCTACTGTTATCCAATATAAATAGTAAGGAATAGAAGACAGAGATAGAAATATAAGTATTTGCTTTCTTGCTGTTATCTGTTACTAGGCCATTTCTCTCTCTTGGATGTAATCCGCAGATGAACGTTTCTCAAATGCTTCTTCTGTAGTTGTTGCCTCTCCTCTCTTAGTATATGTTTAGAAAAGAAAAAGAGATAACATCTGTTAACACACTGTTAGGGCATATACCTTTGATCCCTAGAAAGTATGCATTTTATTGTCTTCAGTTTTATACCAGGAGCTTTCCAGTGTGTAAACACTTCTGTTACCTGCTGAATTGTAAAAATGCATTAATCTGTTTTCAGGTTGTAGATTACAGCAAGGTCTTAATCCCAATGTCAAGAGAAAGAAATCTTTGTTGTAAAAAACATACAGGATCTTAACAACAAACACAAATTTGGTGTTCTTTTTCTGAGATTTTACTCATGTGATTTGTAGCACACATTGACTTTTAGAGTCAGATATCTTTGGATGAAATAAAAATCAACTGCAACTTTTCTGAGGACTCAAGAAAAATTTTTTTTTGTTGTTTCTTTTATGTAATGCTGTATAGAAGTGTGTGGAATATCTTGATGCTGTGTTCTAAGAAAGCCCAATCATTTTTAATGAAAAGATCAGGCAGTACTGAAAGATGCTTTACTTAGTATCCATCCCATTTTTTTTACAAGCTAAGCCTTCAACTACATAAAATTAAGCAAAACTAAATTTGAAAAAAAAACATCATGAGTAGGGTTATATAAATTACTGATTTTTGTTTTGATGTCCAAATGAACATTAGTCCAAATTTTTTTCACTGAAACAAAGCCTCACTGTGGTTTCTGCTTTGAAATTTGAGTGTTTCATGCTGTTCCCTTTTTATTATTTTTTTTTTTTAAAATAATTCTTGGAGCCTGTGGACAGGTGTTACCTTGCAGGTGAACCTTAAGCTTAGCTGAGGGGTTAATTTTCCTGTCTTTTGCTGTGGTGCATTAGTTTATTTTAGATAAAGCTAGATGCCAGCATAAAAAATTGCAATCATTCAATTATTACTCTATAGCGAGCTTCTAGTGATGTTGGACTACAGGCTACAACAGCTTGAAAGAAACAAGAGGGAACAATTCTGCCTCCTGTTCTATTTCAGAAATTTAAGCATCATTAATGGTTTCTTAGACTTTGAAATGTAAATTAATTATTTGCCAAAAAAGAAGTTAAATTCCCGTAGTTATGGCATAAAATAGAACTGAATGGAAGCACGTGTCTTCACAGATTAAGAGTTTTCTTGTGTTGTTAAAATACAAGAATGCATATACCTTTGCTGCTTCTGTGTTGACAGGAGCAGCTAAAGTGATACCACTAGAGTACCATAATCACTTTTCTTCTTTGGTAAAATGTTCCAAATTTAATTTCTGTGTAGATCCGATGCTCGTCTTCATAGAGATGACATTGATATCTGCTTCAGCAAAACACTGAATTCCTGCAAAGTACCCCAAATCCGTTATGCAAGCGTCGAGCGCCTTTTGGAGCGGCTAACAGACTTGCGATTTCTGAGTATTGATTTCCTGAATACTTTCCTACATACTTACCGCATATTTACTACTGCAGCTGTGGTACTGGAAAAACTTTCAGACATATACAGACGGCCCTTCACTTCCATTCCTGTCAGGTGAGTTCTGGGGTTTCTCCCTTCTATCCTAGGTTTCTTATGGAATTACCATGGCATCATTTGTTGTTAGTTTTTTTTACCGTGATTTTCTGTTATATAAGTAATCTAAGAAGAAAGTTCTTCCTTTGTAAATAGGACATAAGTTTTTAGATCTCAACTGTCTCAACTTTCTGCCCAGGCTTTGAGGACTAAGTGTCGTACAGATTTTGCAATGCCACGCAGATTTGCACAAAATTTGTTTGTAAGTATTTTCACTTAAATCTGTTTGGTGTTTGTTACCGTCTGTTGCTTTTTTTGTTTCTTACTCTCAGATCTTTGGAGTTGTTCTTTGCTACCAGTCCAAACAACAGAGGAGAGTACCTGGCTGATGGGAAGTCACCACATCTCTGTCGCAAGTTTTCTTCTCCTCCTCCATTGTCACTCTCCAGAACTTCCTCACCTGTCAGAACCCGAAAACTGTCATTGACCTCACCACTGAATTCAAGGATTGGTGCCCTTGACCTCTCTACTTCATCTGTGGTGAGCAGTCCTACCTCGACCTACAGCCCGGCCACCTCCCCTCCACCAACGGGTAGCAAAGTGCCGCTGGACCTTAGCAAAGGGCCCTCCTCTCCTGAGCAAAGCCCTGGCTCCATAGAGGACAGCTTGGAGAACCCCCGCGTTGACCTCTGTAACAAGCTGAGGAGAAGCATTCGAAGAGGTATTATATACCCACAAAATACCGAATGTTACTTTTGATAAATAGGGTAGTCTCTCAGGTAGGCTTGACTTTTACCAGATCACTGCTGAGAAATTATTTCTCATGTCTGTTTTTTTCTCCTGATCACCGTAAGTTGTGTTGCAAAACCAAATACTCTGCACTCTGTTTCTTCTCTAGCAGAGGCTGTGATGGGTTGTCTGTTTCCACCACTTTGTTGCTTCTTTGTAGGAATAGCAGTATGGCAGAATGGCCTTCTCTGTTTTCACTTCAGCAGAGTGCTAAGGGGAAAGGCAGAAGGAAATACTTTATGCCAGTTGTGTTTCTTGAGGTGAAAGATTTTGGAGTTGTACCATTACTACAGGAAGTAAAATATTAAGTTGAAAAGAAATCGGGATGTAAAGACCTAAGAGACAGCTTTAACATGTGTACATAACAGGGCTAGTTTTCCAGAAATATTTCATCACTGATCCAAACAAATAATTTATGTGATGCACTTGGTACATTGGTGAGATTCATACCACCTGGTTTTTATCGATCCAGAAGGCAGATGTCTAAAATAGATTAATTATGCCTGTGCAAATGCCTGTTTTCCTCTATGAATTGTGTAAGGCACCTTGGAATAAGTACTACTTCCAGAGGGCTAAAGTTAGTTGATATAAACCTCAATGTGGCCATTTAGAATGAGATCGTTGTATTTATAGATGGCAAAGCAAGAAAGTATCTCTAATCTCATAGGATGCATAAGTGTGTGCTTATTTCTCATTGCTCTTTGGGAATGGAGGGGTGGTCTTCTGAATTAGAATAAAAGTATATAACAAGTTTTTGTATTGTTATTACATTAAACAGAAGATAAGGAAATAAAAAAAATGCTATTTTATTCCTAAAATTCATGTTTAGAAATGGTCTTACATGGGCTGACTTACAGTCTGAGGAGTTTGAACTGTAAATCTGAGCAAAGTGTAGCTCAGTTTTACTTGCAAGTACTGTAACAATGAAAATTGATGTAACTCAAGAGGAAAGAAGAAATGGATTACCAAACATAAACTAAGAAAAATATGATTGAAGCATTATGCCTACTTCTTACTGATGGATTGAAATAAGTACCCTGGTAAGAAATTTGATGTTGTTTTATGCAGAGCGACTGTTTTTACAGAATGTAGTCTATTGTTTAACAAAAAATCTTTTTAACAGGCAAGTTAGCTACCTTAGCATTATAGGAGTCTGTGCTTGCCCATGCTTTATACTTTCATAAAATGCTGGTTGGCTGTTATATTTCAGTATGCTGGATGTTTTTAAATGAATAGCATAACAGACCATCTATGTATATAAAATATAGTATTTACTATGTAGAGGTGGGCAGATTCTTCTTGTGCACTAGTGTAACCACATTCAAATCAATGTGATAGCACAGCATGTCCCAAAATGTAAGTCATACATTAAAATTAATTGTACACAGGTAACTGCAGTCTTAGGTGTAACCTTTTTTTGCTATACTGTGTAAAGTAAACTAGTAAAGAATAGGTTATTTTGACCTAGTGTTAGCACTAGGCATTGTTGCAGAGGTATTCAGATTTTGCATTCCAGTCTGTCAAAGCTGAAAGTGTCATCTGGGCAGCGTGAGGAACATTTGGAAATGGCAAGAACCTCATATAAATGCTAAATTGCTTTCTGCAGTGTCTCCAGTTCCTTTGGGGATCTCTTGCTGAACAGTTTGCACACAATTTGCAGCTAGGTAGCTCTGTTCTGCGGGGGAAAGTTCTTTTTTCACCCACCTGCATAAAGTATGTTGAGGAAGAGGAGCAAGGTTAAAAAGAAATCTGACAAGGAGAATGGAAACGGACAGTAGGAGAACTACAAAATGCTAATCTGCACATTCCCTATCATACATAATGTGTTTCTTTGTTTCTGAGGTTTTCTGGGTAAGGAGGCCAGTTGTACTTAACCAGCAGCCAGCATCCCATTACGGTTAACACCGTTGCTCTGGTACTGCCAGGTTTCCAAGAAAACAACTATGGCTTACTCTAAATCCAATATAACTGTACAAATTCTGTTCCCTAGAGCATATTATCATGGTGGTGGTTGTTCTCCTTGAATGTTGTCCATTTACATCCTGGAATTTCCACCTTCTTTGCCCACTTCCAAAGTTGTTGTTTGCTTCCAAAGTTTTTGTTTTCCAAAGTTTTTGTTTATATATATATTTTTATATATACAATGATTATACTGCGGGTGTAGTTGTCATTCATATTGAATGTAGGATATATTTTATCAGCTTGTTTTCCTTCATTTCTTCATTCCTTCATTTTGAAAGTAATATTTCCTTGTTTTATTCTTCTGGTAGAAGAACTCTTCCATGGAGTAATCTGCTCTCCTGCAGTACCGTTTGGCTATTTTATTGGGAAGTTTTTGATTACACATAGTTATCCAACAAGGATTATTTTCCCTAGCTTATATAAAACCTATGAGTTCAAGTATCCTTATTACATGTGCGTTTCATTGTATATTCTGCTGACTTAAAGTGCAGTCTTATCCAAGCTATTTTTAAAACTGAGAAGTTTTCACCAAGTTCTTTATTTATGGGCTTTTGTGTGGCTATGTCGCTGGTATGTAACTTTCCCAGTCCTTTAACTCCATCCAGAGGCTAATTATTGCTCAGCCTTCTTAATGCAAATGTTTTATGGCAAGTTCCAGAAGGAGTATTATTTAAAACAACTGTAAACCACAGATTAAACATAAACAACTTTGTGTTAGATGGTATTTAATGGTATTAGGTTGATATTGAAACACTGATATTGTGCTATTAATTAATGACCATTTTTTAAACATTGCCTTTCAGTGAAGCCCCCTTTGGTGTACACACTCTTTTTTATCAGTGCAGTACAGTTCATATTGTTCAAGGCTGATCATTTGCAGACTTTCTTTTGGTGTTTGTAAACTGAGAGTCCTGAATCACCCACATACTCTGTATCTCAGAGGCACTCCATATCTAAGACAAACTAATCTGACTACACTCTGTGGTTTAAAAAAGCTTATCTTAAAGTCCCATACCATAGTTCTCTATGCCCACCTGATATTTTCAAAGAACATTTATACTTTATAAATGCATTAATATAGTAATACATAATATAATATAATGACTTGTAAATTGTGAATGAACATCCCAGTATTAACATCTATTGTCCTTTAAAGCAGCAGTTCTAGAATCCGTGTCAGTGGACCGGACAATTCCTGAAAGCACCTCAGCAGTGGACACTACAGAGCTTTCCCCATGTAGATCCCCTTCGACACCACGTCATCTCCGTTATCGTCAACCAGGAGGTAAGAGCCTGATGTTTCTTGCCTCTGTCAGTCACTTTAAAGAGTTTAAATACTGTAGCTGTAATCTCTGCAGGATATTAGAAAAGAATAATGTTTGAATAATGTGTTTTGCTTGTATTTTCCTTATTTCTCAGGTATTAAAAAAAAGCCATTAGAATGTGAATTACACCGGTTAATTTGTACAGTAATAACAAGAGACTTTGAAGCATATTGGGACTTGGTATGATGAAATGTTCTTAAATAGCTTGAGCAGGATGTGCCCAAGTTCAAGACTAATACTGAATCAGTCCTATTCTCACAAAACTCTCAAGAACTAGACAGATTTTTTTCAGGTACTAAGGGGATGTATTTTGGGCACCATATGTAATCATGAAATACACAACACCCATTATTGTCAATGGGGAGTGACTGTGTCTGTTTCTTTGTATAACACTGAACATTTACAGATGGTGTCACATTATTCATTCCAAAATTTGAATAAGCTGCTCGATTGAAGAGGAAAAGTAAACTCCTCAAATAGCTCTCACATGGCTCTTTGAAATCATTAGCAGAGCTGTGAGCTATGTCCATGAACACTCAAAATGCTGCTATCTCATGCAAGCCAGATTTCTAAGCAGTTATTTCATGCCTGTGATTAAAACAACAAGAACAGAGTAGAGTCTTCTCAACTGTTAATAAGTTGCTGAGACACCTTAATTTTAAACCAGTAGTAATCTTTGTTATTGGGCACGTTTATTGTGGGAGGGCAAGATTTGGGAGTTGGAAACTGGAGGGAACAGTGCCATATTATCTGAGTACTAGTCAGAAGTGATGTTCACAGTACTCCCTATAGAGAAAGTTTTAAAAATGGTGCAAAACTGTGCTCATCCTAGGCAGTGATCTGGGAAAATACGTGAAACTAGTTATCAGAAATTGGTTAACATGCTTAGTTCTCTAACATGATTTTTTGTTTAGGTTAATTTTCTACACCATTGTTTTTGTCTTCTTTTAATTTTTCTTTTTCTGTTTGGTTACTGCTTGTTCCTCACCTTGGCAGTGTCTTAGACATTTTTTTTCCATAGCAACGTTAGTTATACCGACCTGGAAATGAAACTTAAATCACAAGTATGATTATGATATTTTTATTTCCTTTAATATAAAGTCCTCTGGCAATGGAAACTTAAAATGTTCACAAAATGTAAACATTAGTGAAGATTTTAAGTATTATTGTTGCTTAACTTGAAAAATAGGAAAAATATGTAGAACTTGTTAACTTTTCTCTGTCTGTTCTCTTTACAGTACAAACTACTGACAACAGCCACTGTTCCGTTTCTCCTGCTTCAGCTTTTGCTATTGCTACAGCTGCAGCGGGACATGGGAGTCCACCAGGTGAGAGAAATGTGCTGTGTGAAAGAGAGATAACAGTAAGATACTCTGATCTCAAAAGGTAAATATTTCTTAAGAACATAATTATCTGAATCCTAAATAGCCTCTAATTTGTTACTTTAATCTGCTGGTGTTTTGAGTCTGGAATCCTGCCCTCTGCGTGGACATTGCAGTACAGCATTCACAGATAATTGGAGCCTGGGCTTCCAGTTATATGGCCATTATGAAAATATTTGTAATATAACTCATTTAATTGAAAGTGAAATTGACCCATAAGAATGACTAGAACAGCTTAAGATGGGCTGTCCAGGTACATCCACTCTGTTGTGTTTCCTGCTGTGGTGGTCTGGAAATTTTGGCTGATGAAGCAGTTTATGTCACCAAAGAGTAAAATCATCTTTTAGACTGTTTATATACCACCCTGTCCTGGGGAGTTGCCAGCAACCACCACCATGTCTACCTGAAAGAAGGAAAGGATGAGAATGTGTTCAGAAATATCTTTTAGAACAAAATATGAAACCTGACAAGTGAGGACTCCATATACTATACCACGTACCTTCAAGAAACTCATGTGAGCATTTGTGCCATTGTTTTGTGGACTCAAGGAGATTGCCAGCCTATTCAGTGAGATTTTGAACTATCATCGTATAAACCAATGTTAGCTTTTCTTGCTGGCTGAAATCAGAATTACATTTATCACTCCACATTTTCAATTCATCAACTATTAGTTGAATTCTTGTATTCTGTCCTTAATATTTCTAGTCTGGCCTGTTACTGAAAGGTTAATATTTTACATATATGTAATCTGCTAAACATCTAGATCATATCTTTCTTGATTTTATTTTTTTGTATGCACTTACAATTTAAGATTTTATTTTGAAAATGAGCTTTCTTATGTCCAAGGTTGGTATACATAAAAGCAGCTGTACGTAACTAAATTATTGCAAGTGTGTACTATATGTTCCTTGGAAAGCAGCTATGTTGTCTACTGACTGGAGGTATTTAGGACAACTTAAATTACTTGATTTAAGTTTTGAATTCACTTGCTGTCTTGCTGTGTACCCTTTAACATGTTAATGTCTTCTGCTATGTTTTCTGCTGAGTCCTAGATCACGTTACAAATAAAAAGCAACTTTTTTAAAGTCCACAAAATCACTTTCACTTTGCATTGACACACTCAAACCCACAGTTCGTTTTGATAATGTATGACAAAGCATGGTCCAACTGTAAATTAACACCTGCCTCTTTTCCATCATAACTGTTGGAAGGTCAAGAAACTGCTTCGAAGACACTAGTCTTAAAATCACTCATGAAATTCTATGCAAGTCAGTAAATCATCACTATTGATTTCAGTGGATTTTGTGTCCACTGTGTCTAAAGTTGTGGTCATTGACTTGATGACTGAGTAGGCATGATGAGAAAATAATTTCTGGATAAACGTGTATTAGTGCTGCTATTACTCTTGTGTACTGCCTGTGATCTTTAGATGATCACAAGAAGGTGGTGTTCCATTTTAGGAACTTTATGAACCTGTCACAAACACGTATTTAGTAAATTCTTTTTAAATGATGAATATCCTCTGCCTTTGGAATCAGACACTGCCAAGGAATCAGCGACACATTTTGCTTTATGAATTAATTCCAGTATGTTTACAAATTGTTTAAAAAATGCAGTAGGAGTAAAAAATACTGCTTTTTCCCACTAGGAGGAATTCAGTTGAAAGTTACTGCTTTTGTATTGTTAAAAGCACAGCTTTTCAATATTTGTAGAATTAAGTAGAAGAGAAGATAAAATCTACAAGTATGCAATCAATTAAAGGAATATCAAAGCATGAGGATGTTGAAAAATAAAAAAAACAGCAACCCTAATATCCTTAAGTACTTTTTTTGTGTTGTTGGTTAAGCTAGTTCTGCATAGAAGGTCATTCTCTTGAGTGAGGTAAAAAACAGTAAGAAGGTTCTGCAGCAAATCTGACAAGAAAAGCGTGTGGTGGGCAGTCTCAGGAGGCTGAGCTGGAGCAAGGCTGTCTGTGTCTAGTCAATATGAAAATTCAAGGCTACAAACCACAGCTTAAACAGCTGAATAACCTGTTTTGTAACTTGATGCGATTAGTCGTGGTAGAGATGGTATTAAAGTTGCAGAGTCATGCAGTTCAAATTTGGGTAATTCAAATAATATTATTTCTTCCCCTGCATGTGTTATCATAATTATGTGGGGTTTTTAAATAATGCCTTTTTTTCCCAGTGGGATCCTGTCTCATTCGCTGCATAGGATGGACATGATCCCTCAGTGAATCGGGTGTGGGTAGTGAATGAGACTTACGGCTTTTTTTCTATTTCAGTTGGTCCTTGGCCTCACTGCCACTGACATTGTGATGTGTGCCATTTAATATACTCCTACATGGAACTTAAATAGAACGGAAGGTGAAATTCAGTGTTGATAAATACTGAGTGATGCACATGAGGCAAAACAGTCTTAAGCTGTACACCTGAAAGGATGGGCTCTGTGCTGGACATTACCATTCAGGCCTGAGATCTGGTGGATTATAGTAGCTAGTTCCCTTAAACAATCCTAGTGCTCAGCAGGAGCCAAAAAGGTAAATGAAACATCAGGAATTATTCAGAAAGGATCAGAGAACAAAGCAGATAAGACCATTATGCTACCACAGTATAAATCCAGAATTTGCATGTGTATTGAAGACTATGTACAGTAGCAATTTTCAGATGAGGGGATGACAGCTAGAGAGGGTTGAGAGTTTGCAATCAAGGATGAGTAGAAATATGACATGGCTTCTGTGCATTTGAAGTTTAGAGAAGAGATGACTTGGAGGGTTAATGACAAAGTTCTGCAAACTCATGGATGTCATAGGGAGAGTTCATGGGCATTTGTTGCTTTTTCTGATGCAAGAGGTAGGAGGCATTAGATGAATTTCATGAGGCCAGGGTTCAAAACAGACACAAGCTTGTGGTTCTTTGTGCAACGAATAGAAGGCCTGTGAGATTCTGCTGAGGGACATTGCCAGGGTAAGAGACTTACCCAGGTTCAAAAAGCAGACAGTTACTTGCCAGCAACAATCAGTAGTAGTTACTAGACTGGCAAACTAGAACAGGTTCAGGAGCTGACATCAGTTGGAGGTTGTGGAACAGTATCAGGAGGTAAGAGTGATCTGTATGTCTTCTGTTCTTATGATTCCCTGAAGCCTCTGGCTTCTGGCCATTTTGTTTTGTTCTGTTTTCCCAGGGTATGATCTCTTAGCTCTTATCAGCTTCCCACCTTCCAGTTCTGACTGTTAGGGATGCATTGAGGCCAGCAGATTAACAGACTCATCAGAAAGCCCTGTAGTCATACACTCTACCAGAACCAGACATGAGGAATATTTTGTCAACTCCTGTGGAGAGTGCTGACCATAACATTTTATAATTGCTGTCACCATGCAATGATAAGTTTATATACTGCTAAGTATGCAAAGCTCTGAACAGCTCTCCCAGGGTGTATGACAGCTTTGCTTATCTTTAGATGAGCACCTAGGGGAACACTGCCTATGTTGGTCCTGTCTGCAGGCTGCATGACAGCAAGTGGCTTGATGGGAAGCCAAAGTTGAAAGACTTTTGAGTACTTTGGTCTGCTTTAGGTATTGATGCACTTCTCCCTACAGATGCAGCCTGAGTGCAGTGCACGTTGGCAGTGTTCTCCATCTGCTCCATCCTCACTACATGGGGGATCAGTACGTTGCTTCAGGGACCTTGACAGTGTTTTTGGGGTATCCTCATCTGTTGCGTTCATTTGTTATTTGGGTGCACATGAGGTACACATGTAGGGCTAGGAGGGCCCTAAGAACAGCTCATGCTTGGGTTGCTGCACCACACTGTATGCTGTACTATTTTATGAGCTGCTGAAAAGGACGTGCTGGGCACCACAGTATGCAGACCTTCCGGCAGGATATGGAACCTTTCTCTGAACCAGTATGGTTCAGGTTCTTATGCCCTTGAGCAGGGTTTTTTTTTTTAACTTACTGATTCTGTTGCCATTGATTTCCGTTATTTTATAGGTAGCTGCTTTTATGATGCCAAGAGGTTCTACTTGTCTTATTGTTTAGTCCATCTGTCTAGTTAAATATTAATCTCTACATATCTAAACATGTTTTTGTCTATTCTCTTCCAGAAAATTTGCGTATTACTTGTTTATTTGAACAGCATGATAAAGATAAATAGAAGTATGAAGTGAAAGCACAGAAAGTTAAATAAGGCACTCCAGGTGCACAGCTTGGTGCCTACATGAATGATAATATGCACAGTAGGGATAAATAGAGCGTGTTGTGTCTTTTACATGTCCTTTCTCTTTTGAGGGATGTGAAGGATGGCTGGATGGCTATGGCTTGCTGCAGTTGTAGTGGTCTGTGACCATTAACAGGTTGCTGCATACTTTCATTCTTTTCCCAATTTATAAAAATAGGAGAATAATATTAATACATTCTAACATAGAAATGGACAGGTCAAATCATCTTTATTCTGCAGCTTTCTTTCATGGCAATAAAGCTTATTCTTCAGCAAGGGAAGAGAACAATGGTAAGCAAGCATCCTTCTCCAGAACAGTGAAAGATACCCAGTTTTCATGGCTGGATGTAAACTAGTATAACCTCAAATTGCTGATACAGGGACATGCCTTCTTTACTTGTTCTGAATTGGCATTTATCTTCTCATAACTCTGTCATTGCTCCAAGCACTTCCGTTCACCTATATGCTTCTCAGAGAGGTAGGTAAGCCCTGAGCAATCACAAATACATGCTTGCTCGGAGGCATCAGTTACTTGAGCTGTTTCTTTCCTCCCTGTTCATATACCTTTAGAAAATTGGTTCTTGATCTCTGCTTGAATCACTGACAGCTTCCAAAAGCAACACAGAAGTTCTCCATCAGCTCTGCTCTGATGTCTGCCTTATAATATGGAAGAGTTCCTACAAACATTGTAGTGCTAACGGCCTCATCCTAACAAATGTCCTGCTCATCTCTTCTTTTAGCTTTGCAGTGAGTTAAGTAGTCCTTAAGTGGAACTCCAGGGAGCTGC